TCCACTAATTCATGTGCTTATTTTTCTTAATGTGACTTTTAGTCACCCAGAGCTTGTGTTAAACTGCTTTTATGTTAAACTGCCTTTGTGTCCTGGAGAAATGATAAGCTGTTTAGGAACTTTTTTTGGGAAATGATTGGAATATACAAGTCATAAAAATTTAACAACTTTGAAAAGGGGTGCATTTTAATGGGGCCGTGTTAAAACCGCGATATGCTTGTCAACATGGTATTCCTTTAGGGGAAAAAAATGACAGCCACAGTTTTCACAATGAGTGAGCAGCAAACAAACAATGTTTTGAATAATTTTTAGGAAGCAGAATTAATATATAGTTAGGCCTTAAGTTTCAAGCTACTTGAAAACTTTTTGTGTACTATTTTTTTTTGGGGGGGGGAGGGTGACATAATCACTCATATAATAAATTTTAGAGGCAGAGGGATTCTTAGATGAGGTTCTAACCTGAAACCCAATGAAAATTAAAGATGTGTTCAAGATTATGCACTTAGGTTACGGCAGCTCAAGAGCCCTGATTCTAATCCAGAAGAGTTTCTGCAGTAACCCATTTACTTTCTAGTACAAAGTTGTTCTCTTTTTCTATTCTAAAAGTCTTCTGTACACAGCTGGGGAAAACATTAAACAAAGTTGACATTTTTGCTTTATGTAGGACATCTCAGATTCATTATTATTCCTCAAAAGTACTAAATATGCCTAAATTGTTTAACCAAGGAATTATTATTATTATTATTGGTAGACTATCTGTTAGTGTCTTGCATTTGTTAATAAGGTTTGAACTGTGGTCCTACTGTGTTCTCCACTTTAATTGATTAGGCATAGTTATTAAAGGAAGGAAATGGAGACATAGACATCAGGGGCCCCTTACTTGACTGAGGACAAGATAACTTTTCTGCCTTGTTACCCGAACTTCAAAGACTGATTTTCTAAGGGTTTTTATTGCTATTTGATAGTGTGTCTGGGCCACAGCCCGGTTTCCTGTGGTAAATTCTCTTAGCACTTGGAAAAGGCCATTTGCATTCCGACTGGTAACATTGTGGCCACATTGCTCTGTATTTTTGCTGACAGTCCTAAGTTAGCTGTCCACAGGATTGGCAGTCATTTCTGGAAGTGGAACATTTTAAGTTGCTGGAATAATGGCAGTGAGGTTTGGAATGTGGGCATTGCAAGGAATTTGCTATCGTATGTAGTCCCACGCTGCCCGGTTTTGAAGTGAGGAAGCTTTGCTCACCTCCCAAGTTGAGAAGAGCAACATGGTGCCCAGAGTTGACAAGTAACTGTTCATCAGGGTGTGGAACGCACCGTCCGTTGCGTGGATTGGCTCTTAGGTAGAAGCATCTTTTTGAACTGGAAAAGGATATGGCGTCATGAGTTGTTAATTAACCAACGGCCCTTTCTTCATTCTTAAATGGGGCTGATGTCTTGCAAACTTGGTGTGCACAATCTTTGTGTTCAATTACTCTGTTTAACATGTGGTGCGTCCGTGCCCAGTGAGAAAATAACAGGTGAAATACTTGCCTAGCTTGGATGCAATAAGGTTCTGAAATTTCAAATTCTCAGGATCTCAGGCGGTAGGAAGAAGTTCTTTTTAAAAAATCACAAGTGCTTCAGTTTACTTATCTGAAAATTTAATTTGAAGGTGACCCCTGTCACTCTTACTGGTTAACGTAGGACATAGCAGTTATTGTTAATCTTTAGAAGCAAGTGATGCCACCATGTTAAATATAAATGGGAAAAAGTAGAAAAACAGGATTGAATAATTAAGGTATAAATGTCATAGTACCTGTGATGCTGTGACTGACATCTTACACAATTCTCTGAAAACTTAAGCCACAGGTTGTAGCTTTCACCATTTCTTAATATAGGGAAAAGAATTTAGGAGGCTTAAAGAATTCATTTTAAGTTAACTGCCCCAGCATAAAATCATACCAAGTTATTCTAAAATGCATATAGCATTAGACAGATAAATAATTAATTCAAATGATTGTTGTATTGTTATTCCGCTATGGGTAATTTCAGAACTAAAATATTGTGAGGCAATTGCTTTTTAACCTATGATTGAGTCTAGCCAACATAAGTAGTAACTCCCTTATCTCAAGGTAGGTACTAAAAGCCATCAACCTGCCAGATGGCAACGATGTGTACAGTGGAGTCTTTTAAAAGCAACTGAAGGTTGTCTATCAGACAATGTTAGTGTCTGTCCATATTTACTAGAGTGATTGTTTTTATAAAAACAAATTTTAGAGGATGAAAAAGTATGTAAATATTAGATTTGGTGATACTTATGGCCCCTTACTGTTCTGTTTTCAAATACGTGAGATATACACTTTACACTTATTTACTACGAAATTCATTTAGCACCTTTTAATGTATAGATTTTTCTGAAATCATTTATTCAGTTTTAATTATAATCACTCGTGTTTCTAAATTTTTTTTTTTTAACCTTTTTCCCCTTGATCCTTCCTGCCAGACGTTTCTGGATTATTAAGCTTTTTCAGAGACCCAGGGTCTGGCTTTGTGATCCTCTGTGGAACATCGTTTCTCAAACTGGAAATTCATCAGAATAATCTGGTACATTTGTTAACCACAGAGATTCCTGCCCTGAGTTTCTCTACCTTCCTATCCCCAGTTTCTGATTTTGTGTGTCTGAGATGTGTCTGAGAACTTGGATTTCCTGTAGTTCCAGGGGCTGCTGGGCAGTGTGCTGGCTTGAGAACCGCAACAGTGTCTTCATTTTTTGTTGTTAAATTGCTTTTAAGAATTTTTTTTTAACTTTGGGTTTAGCTTTTTAAGAACTTTTGTATTGGAAAATTCTAAAGAATAGGAAAGAAAATGTTGTCGCTAATCGCTGTGTAATACCTCTCACCTGACTCCCTCAGTTTTCAATATAGCAAGTCCTCACTTAAGGTTGTAGACAGGTCCTTGGAAATGCGACTTTGAGTGAACGCTGTATAATGGAACCCATTGTTCCATTGGCTGATCGATATGAAGGAGAGTCAAGTTTCTGTGGCATGTTTCTGTGAGTCAAGTTTCTGATTACAGAAATATCACCAAACTTCTGAATAAAGACCCCAAACTCTTCTCATATTAAATATTGAAATGAGCTACACATATATTTGGGAAAGATTAATAAAAACAAGTAAGATTATTTATGTACTTATTCCATTTCAGGGTTGGGAGTGGCTGAGGCCTGTCCCTGCAGCTCAGGCTGCAACTTTAAAACCAGCCGTGGGCAGGACACTGTCCTGTCATAGCAAGGCATGCACCTGCCAGTTAGACAGCCCAGTTCACCTAATTGGTACGGCTTTGAGATATGGAAGGAAACTGGCATATTACTGGAGAACCCACAGACAGCCCAGGAAATGTGGGGGACAGGTGCAACTCCACATAGGCTGTGCCCCAACCAGGAATCCTTGTTTTGCCTCATCAACATTATAATATCATCCCATTGAACAAGATGAAGTATTCAGGATCTGCTGGATTTTTTTTGTTTGTTTGTTTTCCTTTTTTTGTTTGTTTTTTTGGGTTATTTTTGGCCAGGGCTGGGTTTGAACCCACCACCTCCGGTATATGGGGCCAGCACTCTACTCCTTTGATCCACAGGCACCGCCCAGGATCTGCTGTTTTTACCAGTCTTGTTTCATCTTTCCTATTCACTCTTCCCTTCCCCTCCTTTCCCTTCCTCTTTCCTTCTTCCTCCTTCCCCCTTCCTCTCTTTTCCCTTCCCTTCCCCTCCTTTTCTTTCCCTTCCTGTCCTCTTTCCTCCTTTCTCCTTCTTTCTTCCCCCTTCCTCCCTTCCTCTCCCCTCCCTTTTCTCTCCTTTTCTCTTTCCCTCTCCTTTCCTTTCCTCCCCTCCCCTCCCCTCTCTGCCTCTCCTCTCTTCTTCTCCCCTCCCCTCTCCCCTCCATCCTTTCTCTGTTCTAGAGTATTTAAAAGCAAATTCTGTCGTACTTCATTCATAAATTTTCTAAAATAAAAGGAATTTTAAAAATTGCTATTAAAGTGCCAGAATTAGCTGTGTTCCATACATAGTCCACTATCAATTTTTCTTGATCAAGGTTTCTTTAAAACAACCTGGTGTCTCATTACTTTACTGAATCCATTCTTATCAATTTGCAGTTGGTGTTTGGCCTTTTCTAGACAGTCTGTCACCTGCAAATAATAATTGGTTTGTCTGTTCCTATATAAAATATATTTCTCTATTTTTATTTATTTATTTTTTTTGGTTTTTCCTTTGTTGGGGCTTTCTGAACAATGCCAGTAAATTCTGGTGACAAGGGGCGTTCATGAGAGTGGCCTAATGTATAGTTAATGCGAGTTTTCAGGGCCAACACCAGGGTTAGGGGACTGACTTTGAAATTAATTCTTAGCATGAGCATTTTCAGACCACAAAAGTAGCACGGCGTCCGTCCTGTGTGAAGGTTGTCTTATGTTCAGAAATTGTCAGGGAAGTAGTTCTCTTTCCTTCCTCCTAATTCTTGCCCAGGTCAAGTCAGGGATGTTTCCTTGGCCTCCCCGAGGCTGTGTGGTTGGGCCCCAGGCTGGAGGTGCTGTTGCCTTTTGGGGTATCAGCTTTGCAGTAGAGGGTCTTCTATCAGGCCCCTGATAGAAGTGTTGGTGCAGCCTCGGTCCTGTGTGGACATTGAAACATTGAGACGTAGCTGGTGGTCGTGAGGATTCACCCTCTGAGCTCTTCGAGTTCCTGCTGTTAGTTTGCAGTCCTGTTCTCAGGGTCTCTGTTTTCTTACTATTCCTGCTGTTACTTTGCCGTCCTGTTCTCAGGGTCTCAGTTTTCTTACTATTCCTGCTGTTTGTTTGCAGTCCTGTTCTCGGGGGTCTCTGTTTTCTTACTATTCCTGCCTGCATTTACTAGGGTGACTATTTTCCTTCCGCATTTTTTCACTTTTCATGGGGAGTTGTCCAGAGTACTGAGCCCTCCCTGCTTCCAGAAGGGAAATGTACATCAACTTTGTAATGTCATGCATCTCAGGTAGACCTTAGAGTACAGTCAGTATTTTTATCTTTTAATATATAAGACATTCATGGATTAGCACAGTTAATGCTACAAGGACTGTTCAATATTGTTTTAAACATATGGACTTTAAGAGGATCTGGTATGACATGGGATGGGCGCGTCATCTCTCCTGAGAAATGATGATTGTCACGTGTCAAAGACCGGCTGCTACATCCCACGTAGGTACTGGCAGTAAAGACGGCGTCGTCTGCAACGTCATTCCCGGCCTCTTTTCTTTTCTCACCCATTTATTTCTTCAGTTCCACCATCGCTGTACTTGTCCTCCTTTTCTTTGCTTCTGTGCCACAATGAAATCAGAGCTCTAAGCTTTGCCGTAGGTCCTGATGATCATCATGGCAGGGTGCTTATTGGATGGCGAGTGCTCCCCTAGCCAAGCAGCTGAGAAGTGGGATCTGCAGTGGGATCTGGTGGCACTCAGGGGACAGACGCATCTGAAGAGGGACACAAGTGCACTTCTAAAACTTGACTTTCAAAGCAGAGCAATTCCTTCGTTAAAAGTAATCAGGGTAATAGCCCACCTTGGGATAGGTACAATCTCAAAATTATACTTAATTTCTAACTCGGAAGCTGTCCTGCCGGTTACTCGTGCTTCAGCTGTGGTGACGATGGTGATGCTGTCCTCAGTGTGACTCCTCTGCGCCCCTACTTATCTCTCTGTTAGCAGCAGCCCCCAGCTTCCTGCCCCACCTACACCCGTGTCTGGTTATTAGAATTGAACAAGTGTCCCTTGCTGCTCCTGCTTCCCCTGTGCTTGCGAATGTAAATACAGAGGAGAGACCTAGATTGATCACCTTTTCTCAAAAACTACATGAATTGCTTAATTTCTCCTGAGCAAGTGAACGTATTTGTCTTCTGTTTTTTCCTTTTTTCTGATTCAGTATGGAATGAGACGGTTTTGAGCACTTCTTACGGAGTTCTTGGTCTTACTTTACAAATAAGTAAAGTGAGTCTTAGGCTGATTTGCTCAGGAACATCTAAACTTATGTGTGGCCGACTTGAAATCTCTTCCCTGGAGTATTTAACGCCAAGACACATCTATATTCTGTCTTCGGTGCTAATCACCATGCATTAAAACAAAATACCATCAGGTTTGGGTTACATATGATCTTGTATCTTTAATAGGATAACATTAGAGATTCATTAAATTTATCGATGACTTTGACCTAATTTGGAGCATTATTAAGAAGAATATGAAATATCCCGGTCTGGCAAATGGCATTGACACGTCGGTTGTTACTGACACAGCGTTTGTGCCTCTCCCTGTTTTGATCTTTGACAAAGTGCATTCACCTGGAGTTTTGCTGGTCCTCATGCTTTAGGGAGACAGGTGCAAGAGCCGGTGTGCGGTTCCTTCGGACCCTTTTGTGAATGGAGTGGCCTTCAGGAAATGGGGCCAAGGAGAATTCCGCTGCTTTCTGGGGCCGGTTGCAGTTTCTAAACTATCTTTTTGTGTCAGTTTCCAGGAATACTTTTTTAGTCCAGTGTAATTTTTCATACATTGTTATCCCTTTTGTGTCCTTTTTTGCCACGGTGACGGATTCCGAGCTCCTTCTGTACCCGAGCCATGGAAGCACAGAGCATTTTATGATTATCTGCTTTAGGGAATATTTTGGCAACAAATCCTTTCCCTCAGTTCTCAGCCATTTGGAGTGAAATAAGGAGAAAAATAGGTTCTTCTCAGCTAAGGCACTCACCCCGTCAGCTCTGTATCTTCTTAGTGGTATTTCTTTTCTTTACAACTATTAACCCATGTTCCGTTTTTTTACTGGTATTATCTAGTGGGGTGGAGCCGTGTTTCATAGACCACATAATAATTGTGATTTTTCAGGATAGATGACGTGTCTATTAAAGTCTCATGTCGGCTCCTTAGAAGGTCCTTATGTTTAAAACTTCAAAACAGCATTCATAAGTGTAGTTGTAATTGTGCTAATCTGTAAACGCCTTGAGTCATTCATTCACTGAGCTGGGAGGAAGGAAAGAAGTTCGTTTGAGGTAGAAGAAACCGCATGTGAGATCCCACAACGAATACGGGAAACTCGTGATAGTGGGACATGCCTAGGAGTTTGAACAGGAAACTGAGGAGATAGGCAGTGCCTATTTATTCATGATCATAGAGTCCCATTTAGCCTAACGCTTACACAAAAAGAAGTGGATATAAATGGTTTTCTGGACAAAGAGTGTGATCTTCTCTGGAGTGGTGTACTGGGGTAGATTGTTTTGAGCTAAATGTTACCAAATGGCTGTAATTGAAGGTGCTGTTCATATCTGAAGATGTTTTTATGAGAAACGAGGGGAGTGCCTGTTGGGTTTTCATGTGGAAATGTAGGCTGAAGGCTGTTCTCACCATCTCATTAGAATTTCGATTCTAGCACAACTATAGCCCAGGATGGAGGAGGGAGGAGGAGGGGAATGGGAGGGGAGGGAAGAGGCTTGATGGAGAGAGGGTAAATGGTGGGACCACACCTATGGAGCATATTGCAAGGGTACATATCATATCTACTAAGTATGGAATATAAACGTCGTAACTCAATAATTAAGTATATGAGGTGAAACCCTATATTAACTAATTCGATCTAAGCATTCCAAATTGTATATAAGAATAGCACATTGTACCCCATAAATGCATTAATGTATATACATGATCTATGTGTCTATGACTTAATAAAGAAAAAAAAAAGAATCTCGATTCTACCAAGCCCCCAGTGTTTAAAGAGCTTTCCTTTTTCTCCGGCACCCCTGCTAGCTAGGCGATGTGATGGTCGACATTGCCAGTAACATCATGTTGGCTGATGAGCGCGTCCTGTGGCTGGCGCAGAGGGAAGCCAAAGCCTGCAGCAGGATTGTCCAGTGTCTGCAGCATGTGGCCACGTACCGGCTGGCCAATGGCGCTCATGTTTATTCAACAGTAAGTATAATACTATCATTGACTTCCAAGGGAAAAAAATTCATTTAAAGCAAATCTAACCCGAAAGAGAGAGAGAGAGATCTGTTCCCCATGATGAGATGGGGTGTTTTCTCCTCTTTCCTGCTGGTTCTCATAGAATTTCCCTTTCTACAACATTTTCAAGTTTGCTTTTGAGGAGTTTTTCTTGAAAAACTTGGAAAGTACTTTGTTAAACTGTGATTTGAATGGGTTTCATCGTGTAATCCACTGAAACTATTTCTGCAATGAAAACCAGAACATTGTAGAATTGCCCCAGTGGCACATACATCTGGGCTAGAACATTCTCTGTGGGGCCCTGAGGAGGTTTTGAGAGAATGGCTGACTGTTTGCCCAGGTTTCAATCTCAGAAGAGAACTGGGACGCCCTCCAACCCGTGGAAGCTATTGGCATTTTCAGTCAATCCCACTCTTGGGGTAATGAGTGATTAATATAAACAATGATCACCCCATTAAATAGTATTACATTTTATTTATGCTAAATTTTAAACTCTTGCAAATTTCCTGGTGTGTGCCTCTTAACTTTTTGTCCTAAAAAAAAGTGGTAGATCATCACAAATGTGTATTTCCAATCTGGTCTATGATTTATTTTTTAATTTTTAATTTTTTTATTTTTACATATACATATTTAGTAGGTTTCCACTTTTTGCCTTCACGAAATCAAAAAGGCTTAAAATTTAACAACAATAACAATGTTTAAGATACTTGTCTATGATTTTTATTTCCCAATTATTTTAGTGGGGTTACGTGGTGTCGAATAGCTATACTTCCTCCTGTGATCTGACACAATTTGAGATTACTATTTCTCCATTGATTTCTTAGACCTTTTCTGACAATATTGTGTTTCATTACTACTTTTGCTCAATTAAGGTGAGGATTACTTTCCTGAGTAAAAAATAAAATAGAAGCCCATTATGGCTGCTGTCTTTACAGCATAGTTCGTGGCAATTTCCTGCTTGGATATCTGACCTTACTCGGGACCAGCTTGTCTTTTCTATGTGCTCCTGGACATTTAGACCCATTTTTAAGTCCCATCCTTTAGCCTTGCTTGTTAGTCATCCTGAAGAACTTCTCTTTCCTTTGAACCTCATGGGTTCTTCTTTTTTTTTCCCCAAGGGTATAATAAAGGTCACAATCAGTATTTGCACACTGTTTTAACACATGATAAAGGTTCCAGGAATTTCTGACTCTACCTAAAATAAGTAAAGACACAGCTTCAGGGGTA